TTATGTCTCAGACATTTTGAGCATGAACTCATGGGCTTACTGATAGGGGAAAGCAAAGTGCGATGGGCTCTTGCGTTTATCAGTGCGTTTAGGGGCTGTCCGACAAGAGCCAGACTGTAGGCAGGAATGTGTTCAGGCTGTAAGTGCCATGTCAAAGACTCCACTATCAGTTACCCTGTCGTCTGAGAGCTCTGTGTTTAGCATGCGAATACTACAAGCACTAGGCCTGTATATTATAGCCACAATTTTGAAAATTAATTGCAAAATTAACCTTTTTACAGTATGGACCACAAGGATTTTTCTTAACAGGTTTATGATCCTCTTGGATGACTGCTTTTCATTTGACAGTTATTGATTTTGTAGCTGCTGTACATTATAACAAACTATCACCACTTTAATGAACAGTTTTCTCACAGTGTTGCTTAATTACTTGGTTACTTTCTTTGCTTTATACCAGTAAACCTTCGTATCTGTATGGAACTATCTCCTGAATGTCATCATTAATCAAGTAAAATGAAATTAAAAGAATATTTTGAGAAACACGCTTGCTTCCTCCAGACTTCAATGAAAAGATCAACAATCAATTTCATCTCAGTGCCTTCAGTTGAGAGACTGATCGCATTTGGCTGAGCATTAGTAAGAAGAATGGAAGCAGCAGGAAACTGTTAGCTTCCACCAAAAAGCGAAAAAATCTGCTTAGTTACAATGAATAGCTTTATTAACTGCTTATTAAACCAACATATCAACTTTGACAGACTTTGACAAAGCCAGTTTATAATTGTTCTACTTTTGCTTCCAGTGTTTGTGCTAAGCTAATGTTAGGAAGAAAGAACTCTGCACAGACACAGATGACACTGAAATTATATATATGTCATGAAAGTGCATGAAAATACAGTTGACCTTTATTACAGATTAATATTACATTTTACTTGAGTTCCATGAGCATTTACCTTTACACACTCTGCTCCTGAGTAATCCTGTCTCCTACCAATAGACCAAGGGACTCTAGACAATCTAGATGGCATTGTTTTCCAACAACTGTAAATTCTTGAAATTTTATTTTTTTAGCAACCTTTAGGCTCAGTTATTGCCTAACCATTGCAAACAGTGGCTTACAAAACAGTGTTTTTCCTAAAATGGACCATATCGCTAAGGTGCTTGTATGTGACACCGAGTCTACGCACAGCACACAGAATCACAATCTTGGCATTTAGCAAAAAGCTAACAAATTAAACAGGCACCACATTACTGCATTTTTGCAATCTCCTACAAATTGTCTTTGCATTCACCATGATGATGTTCAAATTGGTAATCACACATTCCCCCATTTATGTGCACAGCCTTACCTCCTCCCTGATGTCAGTTGCTGTTGCTGGGAAGAATGAGTCATCCTTTGGAAGCGGTTGTGTTAAGGCACTGTAAGGTGCTCTCTGGCTGGAATGCAGTTCAATATGAAGCAGTAAGGATTTCACATCTTTAAGTGCAAAACATGCTGGTAACATATCGTGCACATCAAGACAGCTACCCCTTTAGCTCTTCAGGGGTAATTGAATGAAGTAACTTACAAAAGACTAAATGCCAGCCATTTAAATTCACTGTATGTGATATTATACTGCTGATGTGCTGTACTACTTTCAGTTTGTGCTATAGAAAAATCTGTGTTTTCAATAAAAAAACACCTCTTTTTAACTCTGATAGTTCTTATACAGCAATCACATGCTGTGCATTGCTTGAAATGTACCTTTTGTTGTAACTCAAGCAAAACTGATGGGAAAAAAAGGAGAAAAAAATGATGTTTCATGACCTATGGTCTTGAAGAAAACACAGTTCCAAAGTTAATCAGCTGAGAGCTCCAAGAGCCCCAAATTAGCTGCTGACTTATCATAGTAAAGTTGTACAAAAGATAACCTCCTGTCAGTTACCATTAACCACACAACTTCAGATAGCTTAAAGCCATTGGTGAAGAAAGTTGCAGGAACTTTACAACAGCCAAATTCTTCTTGAGAAAACAGACGTCTCCACAGGCTCTTTTCATCAGATATCATCATCGCTGCTTTGACAAAGCTTCCCTCCTTCTAATTAAGATAGTCTGTTAATGTTAGATTGATTAATTTCAGATGAAGTCAAGTGCTGGCACTAATCAGGCTATTATGAAAATTCCTCCATCAAGATTCACATTTTCTTTTTCTCGCTTGCTGTAACTTTTTGTTTGTGTGAACCATATGTCCCAAATTAATAAAGCCAGGCAGTATACTGAACCCTCTTCACTCTGTCACTGCTTGTCACAGTAGAATTGGCCTCAAACTTATTCTCTCTCTCTCTCTCTCTCTCTCTCTCTCTCTCTCTCTCTCTCTCTCTCTCTCTCTCTCTCTCTCTCTCCCTTACTCTCCCTGTATCTCTCTCTCTCTCTGTTCTTTCTGTTTTTGCGCAAGTGTCCCAGTTAAGAAATTGCTTACATCCCACTCAGTCTGGGGCTGGATTGAAATTTCCCATAGGGTATGTACCAATATGCAGAGAGCACACTTCGACAGATGCCATCAGAGAACAAGCATATGAATTACCAGGCAGCCTGCCATCTTTGAGTTCAGACAGAATGGCATTAATACCTGATTACGATCCAAACAACAACACAACAACAACATGAAAGCCAAAGCAACTGGGAGCAGGTAAAGGTTTCATCATTTATATATTAATGGATTTACTAACAAAGACTCTACTACCCCCTCAAAAGTTAAAATGTCATAGAAGCTGCCAACAATCAAGGGACTTTGAAAAAAAAAAGATAGGGGTAAGAAATCAGATGCCGTCAGCAAATCACGTTCCAATAAATTAAATATTCGCCACTGCTGACCATAACTAATTCAGAAGCCATGATAAATTCATGACTACAATTAAAGAAAACACGATCCCTTTAATTTTAAATGGCTGTAAATATTGGCATTACCCAATTAAGTCACATTTAACTGTAGGAAAAGAACCTGCAAATGAACCATAAACACTCAACCTATATGTTCTTGCAGGAAGCATAAAAAACCCAAAAGCTTTAGGCATGGTAGTGTTTTATGGGAAACTTTTATATAATTGTTATGTTTTCAATGCATGATATTATACATAGAATCTAGAAAATAATTTACAAAATGTTTCGACTTGAATAACACTGGCAAAAAAAACTAACTAATTGCTTTTGGTTCATGTAATTATAGTTATATGGTTCAAGCTATATTTCTTCAAGCCAAATTACAATATTGAAAAAAAAAGTTTTTTATTACAATAAAAAAGTTATTTGTATTCGTATATGGCTGAGAGCAAAAATACTGTCTTCACCAAATAAGACTGACAGCACTGATTGTTTAAATGCCATGATCATTCCCTGACCTTTCACCAAGTCACTGTTTGTGTGTAACCCTTACCATAACAGGGAAAAAACTGTGTTACGTATCATTTTTGTGTATTTTGGAGTACACAATGTTTGGAATGGTTAACAAATTCCATATTTTGGAGTTTATTTTGGATGACTTGGTGGGCAAGAAAGAAGCTTGTAACAAAAGGAAGAACAGCTTGCTTCACATGAAAATTTTAAAGAAACAAATATCTTAATGGTTAAAGAAACAAAGGATTGGAAACACACAACAGAGCCATGTCAGACGATACTCAATCAGTGCCCTTTGACACTGAAGGTCTCAGAGAAACAGCCAATAGGAGTTAGTTTGTATGTGTGCGCTGTGTGCATGTAGTACAGAGTATCATACCTTAACCCAGATTTCTCTTTCTTTCATCATATAGTGTTTTAGTTGAAGGTGTATTTTTGATTTTTGCAAAGTCTACTCTCTACTACTACTACTACTATTACTACTTTGAATAAAAAAAATCAAAATAAAATCACGCACTCATTGTCAATAGACAATGTCTCCTTTTTACACGTATTTATTTGTTTGTCTTCACGTGTGAATCAACCATTTTTAACAAATATGTACAGAATTCAGGCAATAGGGAGTTGCATAATGAATGTTTTTAATTGAGTGGTTTTCCCCTTTAAGCAGTTGCTGTCTCAGCTCTTTGGCAGTGGGAAAGACAGATTGTGGTGACTTCGATAGCCCTCTTCCTGCTCTCAGCACACATCATGATAAATGGTCCATTTTGGAATCCATAATGGACACTGATGTAGAAGCACTCTTCTCTCCTGGCATTGAACTGCCTTCGTGCCTTCAGGCATTTAGTCATCTCACAGACCACTGTCTGTTTGGGATGTGTTGTTTTTGTTTTGTTTTTTGCATGCAAGGAAAACCAGTTTATTGGATTTTATATGGTTAGGGATTTTTGTAATTTAGATGTTTGGTAAATTGAAGGGAATGCTGATTTAGGCTTTTTCCCCTCCTTATAATTTACCACACAGTAATTATCCACATTTTACAACTAATATGAAGCTTTATTACAACTCTGCATCTGAAGTTCACGTTCAGCAAGACTAAAACAGGGTGATGTGGTTCGGCCACCCACACAGCAGTTAGTCTGTAAAAGTAAAGGCAGGCTGACGGTTAGCTCCCATTTCCCGTCTCCGTTTCCCCCTCTCAAATTAAGGAAACACAACATCTGAACATGGACACTGACTTCCTCGTGCCTACCTCACTCCCATCTAATCTCTGCTGCCTCTCGTGTGAGGAAACAGTTACTTGTAATGTATACAAGATATAATGTGAGGCAGAGAAGCATTGAGAGAGAAGGTGGGAGGGATTTATGGAAAGGGGCAGATTGGAGGGGCGTTGGGCTCCCAGATGCCCCTGCCCATGTGTATGTGTATGTGTGTGTGTGTGTGTGTGTGTGTGTGTGTGTGTGTGTGTGTGTGTGTGTGTGTGTGTGTGTGTGTATGTGTGTGCCTTGGAGATGACTGTCAGCAGGCGGTGCCTCTGAGAGAGAGGGGAGAGGGGGTGATGTATCCAAAGGGGGGCCCAGTCTGTTACCAAAGGGAGGTGGAGATTTACTATCCCACCCAGTCAAAGTGTCTCACTGGTGCTCTGACACACACACACACACACACACACACACACATGCAGAGATACACACAACTCCACACACACACACACACTCAGACATACTGCAAACTCTCCACAGCAAACTCTGAGCCATAATGCGAAGGCACCTCAGAGCAGACGGGTGCATTGCTCAAACCAAGTGGGATACGGTGCGGCTTTGATAGTGCGTTAATTACTCATGTGATGTGATACAGATGTCTGGGGGCTTCAGCCGAAAGTTTGCCTGACGGTTTCCAAGGGGGCCAGGCAGACATTTTAGAGAAGGTAGGTGAAAACCAAACGTATTTATTATTTATGGATAGATCAGTTTGCGTGCTGTCACAGATCCCAGCAGTGTCATGCTGATGCTAAACTGTGATGCTACTTGAAGGGCTGGCTGCTAAATAGTTCTTTGTGTACTTGGTGACAGCTGGGACTTTGAACAGGAAGAACTCTGGGCTATAAGAGTTGCCTGTGCTGTGACATGATGAAAAGGGCTTCACTATCGATCTGACAGTTTGAAACTTTATCTGCTCTTTACTAGGAGTTTTGGGGAATGAATAACTCTGATTTTGTCCAGAAAGTGTGCTGTTTTCCCTGTGAAGAGGCAGTAAAGGTGAATATATCAAGATAATAACAGTAAACTAAAGTAAAGAAAGGATTCAAAGGGGAATCCGAGGTATAACTATGTATTTTGTACTTATATTCTGATCATCTGCTTGCATTGAAAAATTCTGACTGGAAATCAGTCCTGCGGCACTAACCAAAAAAGCTCTTTGTTTTCTAACCACATGTTTAAACCTTTCTAAATTAGAAACAGAGGGAGAATGCAAAATTGAGGAAATCATTTGGTTGAAAACCCATGCAAGGGTCTCACTATGAAAACAACATAAGAACAAGCAAAGCCTCACTGTGTAGCTGCAACATTATTGACGCAAAGACATAACCGACAGCTCCTTCTTCCAGGGACAACTGAGAGCAAACAAGATGCCCAATGCGTTTTGCTGATGCCTCATCCTGAACTGCATGACTGTAACTAGTCCTGGCATCTCCCATCTGTGCCCCCTTGGCAAAACCTTTTTGAAGTCTTGAAGAAGTTCATTAACTTCCTCACAGCTTTTGAAAGGACAGTAATGATGTTTAACTTTCTTGTAATGGATAATATTCCACTTTGGTTAGATTTTAAGTGGAAGCAAAATGCGAAACAACCTGTGAAGTTGCTGGTTTTTTTTTCTTAAGTGTGTTGTCAGAAAAATAACAAAATGTTCCTCTTGTTATTTCTTTTCTTTTCTCACCAGTGATATATTGGGACAGTCTTTCAATCAGTGAAATCAAAGCTACAAATGTGTTCCATAATGGGCACTCCAGCTGCACATATGTTGGTGCTGATGGTCTGTATGGCAGCCAGAGGAATGTGCCAGATAAACAGAAATGAAGCAAAGGAGGGCCCTCTCGTAGGCTCTCTGGTCCATTCTACCCTCCAATCTCCAAGTTTCTACAGCACCATCAGTCCCAGTACGGGGCCAGGCCTCCACCTGGGGATCCCTAATGCACAAGCTGTGGGATCTTCAAATGAAACTGTCGTAAAGAAGCCAGATCCACCTCCGATGTGCCGTGGAACTACCTCTATTAAGAACTATTTTAAGTACATCAACACCATCCTTTCCATTACTGTCTTTGTGATTGGCCTGGTCGGCAATGCCACCTTGCTGAGGATTATATACCTGCACAAGTGCATGAGGAATGGGCCAAACGCCCTCATTGCCAGTCTGGCACTGGGGGACCTTATCTACATAATCATTGATATCCCCATCCACGTATACAAGGTACCTTTTTCACTCTGTTGGTGCATGTTTAATTAAAGTCTTTATCTTATTTTCAAAGCCAAGCTGCTGAGTGACAGGTCTCTGTGTTAATATGATGAAATGCAGCAACAATGGAGGTGATACACAGAGATAAAGTGGAATATTACAGACGGGAAAAGGGGGGGTGTATGGGAGTGTGCAAATAGACGGGAAAGTGTAATCAGTCGGACGTCATTATCTTCCTCGCATGGGCAGATTAGTGATGAGAGGAGCAGGGATATGGCCGACTTAAATAAACATGGGAATCAGGCTGCAGTCAAACATGCCAGTGGCCTTCTATTGACCTGGGACATTAGTCATTACCCTTATCTAGAGGTTTTTTTCCCCCAAAAAAACAAAAAATACTCAGTGCGACTTAAGTGATGAATCACGTGTGGAGTTTTGAACTCAGTTCTTCATCGATAATGTTTTATCCAAGTAAAAGTGAGGTTAAAACATTTGACTGAAACTGTGGTTAAATCAAAATCAAGTGTGTCTCATCCTGGTCATAATTAAAAGTTCAATTAAATGTATTCCTGTTTATGAACATACTGAAGCAAACAAAACTATATCAGAAAACATTAAAATAATCAGCCTAGTTGTCTAATGATGAATCTGTGTATTCCAAAGAATCAGTTTGGGAGCCATTGTTGGTTTTAATTGTATTTATTTTTTGTAACCCTTTCGTTTACTTTTGGACTACAGATTGATTTACACCAGTAAATTGTGTCATGCTCTGTATAAAAATCAAGAATGATGGCAAAATGGATCAGTCAACCTGATCTTTCCAGTGTATTATGGGAAATGCCATTTCACAAGTGAAAAATGAGAAAGCCACCTGTTTAGAGTTAACTTGGGACTTTGTTGTCCGAGCAGCACATGGGCAAAAAGGAAACAAAGAACTCAGTGGGGGAACAGTTTATGCACAAACAAAGAAAGAGCCACGTCTACAATGTTGAAACCATGTTGAAGCCCCTTGTTCACTTCCTCAGTGTTTCCAGAAATAGTCATCTCTTATACTCTAAAAACAGTGGCGTGGCCTCTTTCCTCTGTGCTGCTCTTCTACACTACGGCACAAGTCAACAATAGAGGGCCAGGAAGCACCGTGAAGTTCTTCCTTTAGCTTCATCTTTGAGAAACTTGTTTTACGCAAGTTACATCGTACTGAAGGAAAACTGCCAAAACCACTTTGATGGAAACAAAGGTCTCAACTCACATGGCCTTGACTTATTTCCCCAAAGGAAATAATATTATAAGAGGTTGTGGAAGGGGCTCTGAGAGATAACATATTGACATATTATTAAGGTTTGGTGGTTGTTGTTTTGAAAGGTTGTATGTTTGCAGGACATTTTAAGGTTTTGCAAAAGACGTGCAACGTTTTATTTATAAGTTTATTTTAGCCGATGATCTCCATATGGTCCATGTGAGGCTAAACTCACACTGACGTTAAGATGACGTTGAGAGGTCTTTGATGTCCTTCGGCCTGCAATAAAATTGCCTTACATAGATTTTAATGATGGTCAGCATAATAAAAAAGAAAAAGTCAGATTAGTCCTAAAGATTCATAAAGACAGATTACATTTAAAATCATTTATTTTGCACTGACAGATCACCTAAGCCAAACAGGGATTTAATGACAAATCATATTAGTATGCATGTTATGAATGTTTAACAATAAATGTTGTTACAAATGTAATTTAATTCCTTTAGACAAGTGTTTATGTGAGAGTTACCGTATGTGCTTTTCCCACCAGCTCCTGTCCTCACGCTGGCCTTTTGACGACAGTGGTGTTGGCCTGTTTCTGTGTAAGCTTGTGCCCTTCCTGCAGAAAGCCTCTGTGGGCATTACTGTTCTCAACCTGTGTGCCCTCAGCGTTGACAGGTCAGTGCTTTCATTTTCCATACTGCTTTATTCACATCTAGAGCTTTGATATATGAGGGTGAGTTTTGGTAACCCAGTAAAAGAGTCTTTAATATGAAAATTTGAGTAAAAGCAAAAATCTTGATCTGTGTAAAGTAGAAAAAAATATACATTTATTATGTCATACAATGTGCTGAGGTAGATTTTAGAGAATTAATTGGACATTTTTTCTCATTCTCATGGAGAAGGTTTTATTTGTGTTTTATCATTCCATAGAAATATATAGAAGTGGCTGAGGTTTGAGTTCATCCTGGCGCCTGAAAGAAGAACATTCCAGAGATATATATATATTTTCACAGTTGGAAAAGCAGATCCTATTGCACAAAATGTGAGGAGGCAGACAAATAATTGAAAAGAACATTAAACCAATTTGATTCGGTTTCAAAAACATATTAATATTTTTGATTAGATTCCAGTTTAATGACATGAAGATTTGGTTAGTTGAACTGATGATCACTTTCAGGAAAGGCCTCAGTCTGTCAATACTGAGTCTCAATGGAACAATATTCATCTCTCTGCTCTTCTATTCATTGCCTCAGTGTTCAAAACTTTTGTGAAGAGCTCCTTTAAAAGATGCTCTTTACTTCTTTACAGTCACTTACTTTATATGCCTGTGTGTGTGATACATGCACAAGTCTATATATGATGTTAATAACTATACTGACAAGTTCTTTTTAATCGTGCCTTGGTAGAAATCCCCTAATGAATAAATGATGATCATGAAGTGCTGAAGCTCAGTGTCATCTCACTTTTTGCACCAGACACAACTTAAGAGATAAGAGCCTTGCCTGCCTGCTTTGAATAGGCTCCAAGGTTCAACTAGGCAGACATATTTAATGACCTCTATTATGAGAAAAAGACATGCTGTGCTGTACATTTGTGTTCAAGAGCAGATGCTCTTCATTTGTTTCCAGGAAAAGTGTAGCATATATTTGTGTGTCTGTGTGTGTGTGTGTGTGTGTGTGTGTGTGTGTGTGTGTGTGTGTGTGTGTGTGTGTGTGTTATGCACAAAGTACTTGAGACTCTTTTGTATCTTTTCAATGTTGGAGGAAGAGAAAAAGGTGGATACATTACCACTTAGTAAAATATAAATGCCACCATGTTGTTCAACAGAGAAATTCAAATGTGTCATGAAAAATATATTGTTTTTGCTATAAAATCTTGATGTAGGATTTTACTAAAACATTTCGACAAGTGGTTTCCATTAATGAAACAAACAAGCAAACAAGTATTCAGTGCATGAGAAACACAAGCCAACAGACAGACCTCTCTGCCAACATGGGCCAGTCTGTTTGGAGGCTTCACAAAAATATAAATATTAGATATTTAAAATAAACAATTGATCATCTCTCCTCATTAATTCTTAACATTTTGATATTCTTTGCTGACTGAGCAGTTTGTTGTGTTTGGTGTGCTGCCATGCATAAAGAAAATGTTGTTAGCTTTGTCAGTCAGGAGAGGCAAAGAAAATGATGACAATACTGATTCCTATTTAATGATGGAGCAGTGACTGAAAGCAGCTGAACGACAGCAGCCCTGTTTTAGTTAATTTTATTTTTTTTTTCATATCATGGTAATCGTGTTACATTTTATACTTTATAATTTGAATTTCCTTATTTGTATCCCAAGAGTGTTATATCATAATCATTCCCGCCACAGTAACTGAATATGCCCTAATCATATTATTTTAATCTAATCAATTTGATATGTCTCATCCATTTGATATGCTTGTATCTGCCCTTAACAGATACAGAGCTGTGGCATCCTGGAGCAGAGTTCAGGGAGTGGGCATCCCCCTGTTGACAGTCATTGAGATTGTGTCCATTTGGGTGCTGTCGTTCTTCCTGGCAGTACCGGAGGCTATCGGCTTCGACATAATCACCTTCAACTACAGAAACCAAACCATTCGCACCTGCATGCTTAACCCCGAGAGCGACTTCATGTTGGTACGCTGTCATCTTTTTCTTATCATTTTTGGATAAGAACATTTCCATCAAGCGTTTGTGTCCCAGTGTTTTGCTTGTATTAGGGCCAACATGTGCTGTGTAGTACACTGTGTCAAGGAAGGCTAGTGGAATTTTGCAATAAAGAGACAAAACACGACTGAATGAATGAGATAGGCATCTCACCTGCATGAGGACTACTTAAAGTGAAAGTGCAAGTTCAGCCTAAAAAGCATGTGTTGTGTGATTGAAGATAATGGGTGTTTTTATAGGCCAGTTGATGTGCTATTTTGGTTATCGGGAAATATATTTTTAGAGCAATAAAACAGCCAAATCAAAAACCTACAACATTTCGTGTTTGGGCAATATATAATCAAAAAAATAATTAAAATACCATCTGACAAATTGTAAGAACATATAAGTAAGTATTTTATGCTATTTTATTAGATTTTGAGTATCACTTATGAGATAAACCTGGTCTACTACTCTCCAAGTGATTGTGGCCTTTTTCACATCCTTGGAGCACATAATTGATTGCAGGCCAAGTGCAATTACTGAGGCCTGAAATCTGGGGCCTCAAGCTGAGCCACATGTGCACATCTATTCCATGTGCACGAAAACTATGTCTCTCAAATATCAGCAATATAATGCTGAGGTCTGAGCAAAAGTAGCCTCTTAACAGCATTATTTAAAAGCAATGAAATAACACATTCCTTCTTTAAAAGATTTTGTTTTGTCTCTAGACAGCACATAAGGCCAAAGTCTGGACTGAATCTGAAGACATAAAATCTTTGTTTTTGATTTTCATCAAAATTGTTTAATAAGGTTCAATCAAATTTGTAGGATTTTGAAATTGTGGTGTTTTTAAAGAGCTGGCCAACTATATTTTTTTAAAACCACAGAGTGCCAGATGGGCCTAAAGTGGTTTGTTTTCAGACTTTAAACTGCATAGACCACACATGTAGCACTCATATGGACTGCAATGGCATTGGAGTACAGGGGTTGTCTGGTGGTGGTTGGTCTGAGTCAGGTTCAGTTACAAAATATAGATTCAAAAAAATAGATTCATTCATCATTTCACTTTACTTCTGTAGGGTATATTATCCCAATTGATGTCAGTGGTTAAAGAGAGATCCTCACTTTGCAGATAGAAGGCGGTGCAATGGGAACTATTGGTGAGAAATGGGCAATTACAGAAAATGTGTAAAGTGTAAAGAAAGTTGTAATAGGGCCTGGGAACGTTTAGATCAATTTTGGTTTTTGAAAGACTCTTTCAGCAGTACTACACATCATTTAGAAGATGGTGGTGTAGTGTGGAAGAGTAATTGGGCAGCTTGGATGATGTGTTTTGCAGCACGAAATTTTTTTTTTATTTATCTACTGGGTCACAGTATTATTAGTATTTAGTATTATTTCAGTATCAAGTGTAATTTACTGTTTCACATGTGCTTGTTTACCTGTAGTTCTATACGAAGGCAAAGGATTGGTGGCTGTTTGGCTTCTACTTTTGTTTACCACTGCTCTGCATAGTTGTGTTCTACACACTGATGACCTTTGAGATGCTCAACCACAGGAACGGCAGCCTTCGGATAGCCCTCAGTGAGCATCTTAAACAGGTTGGACAAGACTTTTAAATAATAATGCATTTACAAACCCTTAACCTAATAAACCTACATAATAGGTGTTGATGTCACTAAAGGCAACATTGGTTAACTTTTTGAGGGAGTAAAATAAATCCACTGTCAGTGTTTATTACATGGTTTTAACCTCTAACCTTTCATTACACAAACTTCGTCATCTCCCCTCTAATGGTGGAACGAAATCTGTTGTTTCTCTCTGCAGAGGAGGGAGGTGGCCAAGGCCGTCTTCTGCCTTGTCCTCATCTTTGCCCTCTGCTGGTTCCCACTGCACCTCAGCAGGATCCTTAAAAAGACGGTTTACAACGAGAGGGATCTGCAGCGTTGTGAGCTGCTCAAGTAAGTTCCTGGTGAAACAACTCTCTTACACAAAAGTTACTTAAAGGTCTACAGGAAAATGCACTTTATACTTGTGATTCCAAAAAAAAAAGGTTTAAATGGCCTCCTTGGTGAATGATGATAATAAGTCTTTCTTCTATTTTCAGTTTCCTGCTGGTCTTGGATCATGTTAGTCTCAACCTTGTAACATTCAACTCCTGCATAAACCCCATTATCCTCTACTTTGTCAGCAAGAAGTTTAAGAACTGCTTCAAGGTATTGTTCTTCTCTACAACAGATGGATATTAATGAATATAACAAGCTCAAGCGCTCACTTGTAATCACTCTCACTCTCTCTCTCTCTCTCTCTCTCTCTCTCTCTCTCACACACACACACACACACACACACACACACACACACACACACACACACACTTACATACATACATACACAGATTAAGTCTGGCCAGTAAAGTAAACAGTGAACTCCTTTGGCCTTTGTCTCTATGACACAGAGGCCGTGACGATGATGACATTCCATAAGCAACATGTAAAAGCAGCCTGGTGATTTATGTATTCACTTTTTATGTCTGAGGTCACACACCGCAAAGCTGGAGATAAACCATGCCTCTAGTTTGCACGTTACAGGAGTCATGGGAGGGGGGAGCAAACGAGAGAACAGCAACACATGGTGAACAATGTCTTGGTAAAATTTGCTGTTTTATGAAGCTAGCCACAAGCTGTTAGCTTAGCTTAGCACAATGACTTGAAACAGGGGAAAACGCTTACCTGGCTTTGTTCAAAGATAGAAAGATCGGCACCTATAAATCAAACTAATTAACACTTACTGTTAACCAGCAGAGACTCCAGGAAGCCACTGCTCTCGGCCAAGGAATGACTAAACATAAAGCTCTCCAAAAATGGGCAACTTCTTTTTCACACAATTTCACATTTTGGCTTATATGGATTAGACAAATGAGAAATAGAATGTTAATTTGTTATTTTAGAGTTACTGGTAGGTGGATATTTTCCCTTCTGACACAGCTAGGCTAGTTTGTTTTCCCCTGATTTTAGTCTTAATGCTAAGCTAAGCTGACAATTACTATCCAGCAAGAAAACAAAGTGTATTTTTTTATGAACTATTCCTTTAAATTTTTTCTCTCTTGTCCTCTCTTCACATTTTCTTCAAGTCGTGTTTGTGCTGCTGGTGTTACTCTGACAACCAGCTGAGCAGCATCGGACCTATGAATGGCACCAGTATCCAGTGTAAAAGCCCCGAGCCCAACAACCTCCACACTGATCGCAGCATCAGGAAAGACAGCGACTGATCTCTGACTTGGGGAATATTTTTCAAGCTCTTCCTCCATACACCCACCAGCTTGTAAAATGCAGCCAATGCTCACCCAAAAATATACACATCAAAAAGTGCTTTTTCAGACAACAAATGCACATCCTGAGGACCACTGACAACGATGGATAAGGAACTGGACTTAAAAGGAACAAACAATGGATTTAGTTTACAATGCTCTGAAGTTGCCCAATCCTCTCAGCAGGTGAAACTTCCTAAAACAAACTTCTTGTATTCCCACACCCACGGACAGTGACGCTGTAGCGTGAGAGAAGAAGGGGGAGAGCGGGATGAGGAGGAGGAGGACTCTTTAACAGGATGCAGCTGAACAGTGACTATAAATTACTCTCAATCAGTAGCTGAGTGTGCTATTCCTGTAAAGGGCAACACTACTGGGAAGGATGCACAAAGCCACAGGAAGGAAAAAGCAGACTGCGTGCTGTCAGAGGGAATGATGGGAGATGAGTATGCGCTGTCCCCTGGAGTTCACTCATTGACGGTGGAAAACAAGAAAGCATGTTACTGACTCGAGCCACAATTAATTTTACATTGAACATGTGAGTGGTTGTACAGTGTATTTTACTCACACTCATTATATTGAGCTACTTTATGGTATAATTAGAAGAATATTTGGAAGTTCAGTTGCTTCATGTTTGACTCTTTCTGTGTTCTCTGATTCATCAGGATAAGAGGAAAATGTGTCAGAACAAAAAGATTCATCATCCATACATCAACAAAAATCCTTTCTGCTTCATGTAGTCTTGATCCAAAGATTTTTGTAATCCAAAATGAAAGATTTCTGTGTTAGAATAAGCCAAGATACACTGGCACAAAAATCTATTACAGAGTTGTAGGTTTTAGAGCAGATAAAGTATAGGCACATGTCAAGCAAATGGTAAATATGAAGTAATGCATTATGATACTTCTGATACCACCATAGACCAAAAATGGACAGGAATTAGTGCTTTTCTAAACACTGTGAAGAACTGTGACATGTATGCTTGTATAACTCATAGAATATATGTGTGTGTATATATATATAGTGTCCACTTTTATAAAGTGTTATATTGCAGTAACAATAAGTATTTTACTCAGACTACATTACCTGTGTAATGGCAGAGGCAAATGAGTATTTAATGTTGGTGGTAAATTAAAGGAATAGTTTGATATTTTGGAAAATATGCCAATTTGGCTGTCTTGCGCAGCGTTAGATGAGAAGACTGATACTACTCTCTTGTCTGTGAAATAAATATTTAGCTACAGCTACAGATGGTTAGTTTAGTTTAGCATGGACTGGACACAAAAGAAACAACCAGTCTGGCTTTGTTTAAATGTGACAAAATCCACCTGCAAGCCCGTCGAAAGCGGACTAATTAACATGTAATATCTAGTTAGTTTAATCCGTATAAAAGGTGGATTTTATGAACTTCGCACAGAGCCAGGCTAGGTGCTTCCCCCCTGTTTCTGTCTTTATGCTAAGCTAAGCCAACTTGCTGCTGTCAGACCGACATCTGTTTTTTAATTTACTTTTCTTCTTACTCTGTGCAAGAAAGTGATAAGGGTAATTTTTCAAAACTATTCTTTTAGGCAGAAGTCATATTCAGCTACCAAACAACTATACTATTTGATATGTGAATACATGTAAACCTGTGTGTGTTTGAATGTGTGTTAGCATGTGTGTGAATGCTGTGTGTATCATTACTTGCACTTCTTTAGCTGGAGTGTTTTGCACACTTGTGTACAGAAGAACATATCTGTACAGTATTATTTTACCACTATTCATCAAAGCGATTCATAATAATCTGTAAAAAAAAAAAAAAAATGGAATTCATATTTTTTGTTTGTTGTCATTGGTTTAACATGTTAACCACGTGTTTGTGCTGCTGCTTATACCAATAAATCAATTTCCATCTCCATTGTAAGGAACAAGGAGGATTATATTTCACCATCTTACTAATATTGGTTTCTCTGGGAAGTCAAGGGGGCCCCTTCTGTTTTTCATTTGCGTCTGGGAGAAAGAGGCGTCTGGGAGTGATTTGAAGCACACTGTGACCTGCTTGGCAACTGAGCCCTTAGGGTTGCTAATGTCAGCGGAGAGGATGTGAACAGCTTGGACGGTGGGAATTTGATACATATAACTCACTTCTCATCTGTGTTGCCAAAAGAGGGTTGAGGAAAGCAAAGTTTTACCATTACTTATCCAGGTTTTAGTCATATGTTGGCTTTGCTGTGGCACGATTATATATATTTTGCTTATAAACAATGTCATAAATAATACAGATGTGATGCAAACTAAATGTTATTAATGTAGGTTGGACTTGATTAAATGCGACACAAACAAATTTCAACCTCTTTTTCTGTAAAAAAAACAAGCTTTATCTATAAAAAAAAAAGCACTACTAGTATCAAGACTGAGTTTGCGGCTTTGTGGCTACTTTGTATCCAAAACCCAAAATCTCTCTATACCTTTCAAAAAGACACAATTTCCAGAGCATGCAATCTCTATACACAAAGTTGAAAAACACCCAAGTCCAACATAACACTGTGGCTTTTATCGGACGTTACCCTGTTATTTATTTCAGTGGGTTGGTGATAAGTCTCAGCCAGGTCATAAACTTTATAAAACTGGTCCATTTCCCTCAAATGAAATCATGTCACAATCAGGTTCCAATAACCCTGAAAAATGGAGCAAAACTCAAAACTTTGGTTGCTAAGATATAACATTTCACATTTTAAAGAGGCAGGGAATAAAAAAGAAAAAGATATATTATCAGGATGAAACATACTGGAACATGTTCAAGCTTTTTCTGGGAAGTGAGAGAGAGAAATCAGAGGGTGTGAGCAAAAGTGAGGGAGAGTGAAATAGAGCACTATGGAATTTGGTGGGAACCTTGTTTCTTGCCAGCAGTGATTTGAATAAAGCTCAGAAACAAATAATAAAGGATCTCAAAGGTCCAAAGTGCTTATCCATGCTAAACTTTTTCATATTTGGTTGTTGCTACAATAAAAATTTGTTCAAGAGCAATACATTTCCATGGTAAAGACAATGGAAAGCCATTTCAGAAGAGATTTTCTACTAGGAAATAAAGAAAGCGTGATTCAACTTAAGTTTTTTGTTAATGTTCAATTTCCACTACTTTTGTTATTAGAGAACTCATAATGAGAAAGTCTTTGTTGTGTCTCAGTGGATATCACACAGGCTGTTTGTGGTAATCTTTCTGATTTCAAAGCAAAGAATTACAGGAGCAACACAATATAGTATATATATATATTTATTATGATAAAAATCATTAAAATGCTTGCTACAGAATTACACAATCAATAATAAAATATAATCCATTTTAAATGCTGATCCAGTTCATTGAAAAAAGTCAACCGATTAATCAAAAATGAAATAATTTGCTGCTAAAACAATTTCTTTCTTTCAAGCTATTGGGATTGTGATTTATGGTATCCGAGTAAGGAAAATCGGTCATATAATTGCTCAGTTCTATTTAAAATGCTATACGAAGCACTTGGCCTTCACAAAGAGAATAGGGAATATGAGTGAACTGCATGTCATTTGAATGTACAGTATGTCTCACTGTTGTTGTCACATAAAAAGTTATCAGAGTTTCTTGAACACTTTAAAGGTCCGGTTTGTAACATTTAGGAGGATCTATTGGCAGAAATTAAATATACATTTTATAGGTATGTTTTCATTAGTGTATAATCACCTGAAAATAAGAATTGTTGTGTTTTCGTTACCTTAGAATAACCTGTTTTAATCTACTGAGGGAGCAGGTCTTCTTCTATGGACGCTGCCATGTTGGACAACCATGTACTGTATGTAAAGTCTATATATTTTCTCCTAAATACATGTAATGAGAGTGGAATTCATGTGGTTGCAATTTGTAACTTCTCCACTAGATGCCACTAAGTCCTACACATAGGTCCTTTAAATCCATGACCTACAGTGAGTGAGTTTGGTGTCACAAAGGATGGATTACCAACCAGGCAAAGTGAAAAACTGACCCTGTGCCCCAGCACTCCAGGGGGCGCAAAAGCTCCAGGTTTACTATGTGTATACTGGTTTGTGCACTAACACTTTGTTTGCAAATATGCAAAACAATATTAACTGACATGATAAAGACCTGCTCTTAAAGAAAGTCCATGTTTGATCTAATTGAAAGACCTTCATTATTTTAGTTTTGTGCTTATATATTCATAGCCTGCCTCTCAGACTGTGTAAAAAAACTGGAGGATGCTGAAAAATAAAGTTGATTATACAACAAATTAATGAAGAGAGTGAATGAATGAGAATTGAATGGGTGTATCACAAAAGCAACATTATGTAAGACTAGCAATGCAATGCACAACTGTCATAAATATGGACAGATGTGGATGTGGATTTGTTATAATTACATTACTTTTGATCAAAAACTAGACCACCATAGTTATATAGTACATGAACAGGCATACAGGGTGTAGAGTGGGAATGACAGAAGCACTATCCACCAATTTACAAGTCAGTATGACTTGAACTTTAAGGGTAAGGCTATGGGTAAAGTATTTTAAATTTTGCATAATAATAATTATGATTATGTTATCATGATAATAATCTAATCTCTGTCACTTTAGTGTTTAAAAAAAAAAGCTTAATTTCCTAAAACATCTGCATTTAGTATTAACATTAAGTCAAAAAGGAGTAAATAATATGTTGGGCACTATTTTCAGGCACCAGTGTTGTACTAGTTACTCAAAATATTTAATTTATTACTCATTACTTGCTACTCTTTTCAAAAGTTATACTGTTACTTTAGTTATTACTCTCTGCCAACAGTAATTTGTAACACTACGAGTTATATTACTTTTCTGCTACTCCCCAAAAAATAAGTAATTATGTCCTTTCTCCCCCAAATTCAGACTTACAACATTTTAAATTCAGTTTTGTTTGTCAAAATCAAAGTAATGGAATATTTCCAGCCGCTGAATCTGAGTGTTTCCATGGTCCGAGCTAGTTTCATTCATGATTACAAAAATTAATCCAAGGATGTGATTCGATTGTTGGATTTCAAATCAGTAAAAGTAAGACAATAAAAGTAATGTTGTAACTAATTATTTTTGGGGGGATGACTGTAATATCAAAACTTATTTGTAATTAGTTGCACTACTAGTTACTGGGGAAAATAATATTATTACTATAATATTATTACTGGTAATGAGTTACTGCCCAACACTGAAACATATTTGGTGCTCTGGTTGGTATACAGCAGCAGGACAGTGTATGTAGTACTGACTAAGAATTAACTATATTCATGCAGGAAAATGTGGCTCATTGTGTGTTTTTAATATTTTTCTAAAGATACAGTATATATAAATATATATTTTACCAGACTTATCCTTGTCCTTGTAACTCTTGTTTTTAGATAATCATCCTGTATGACTTCTGTAAGCTTCTTTGACTCCATCCTTTGTCACTTGGGTTGTTGTTCAGGAACAGATGAACTGAAGTGAACACCCTCAGTGAGTCTGAACATTTCCTGACACAAAGGCCTATGGCAGACGTATTAAGATAAATAAGTAATTGTTGAACAGTTGCAGACTTGTGTTTTCCTCTGACAAAGGAGGTGCACTTTGGCTGATACATTATATCTCAGGAATCAGACAGTATGTCTCCTCCTTTGTTGTGCATTGATTATTATTATTCCTCAGTCCTATCCATTCTGCTTACTCCTTCTATGTGTGTTTCCTGCAAGGCACATACTGTACGAGTTACTTCACCCTATAAATAAGGCTATGATTTAGTGAGACATAATGGACGCCACATCCTTTATGCTAAAATATGTTTTGGGTCTGATCAAACACAGCATATGTTTATCTACTCTGCCCTTACATGGCTATACCCTGTATGCCACTTTGCATGGCAATCCCTCCAAGCTATCCACCATGGCACTCGCTTGCACGACTTGTGGCAAAGACCATTTCTAATTCATAAAAGCCAAAAGGATCAATTCAAAATTCATGAACAATCTGTCCTGCTACAACCAGTGATTTCTGTGACTGTGGGGCAGTGGAGATATGGTGCAACAGAAAGGAAAGTTCTGCCTCCCCTCATTTTACAGGAAGACACACAGACACAAATACACTCAAACATGTGCACATACACGTGCACACAAGAGCAAAAGGTAAGAAGGAGGTTCTAATTGGTGTTATTTAATTACTTTGTTAATGCAGGATTTAGTTTAAACAAAAAATATATATAATACAACCTTAAAAAACAGGGTAAATTGCTAGTGGGGTTATGTCTCCATGAGATAAATTCGTATCTAAAGGGATGGAAACAATGGATGATGGTTGTTTTGCTTCAACAGCCAGTAATTCTTATACTTGACCGCATCATTGAAAGGTCCCCCATTTTATGTAAAACATCAATTATTATTTATTATTTATTTTACTTATTTTATTTTATTTTAATTTTATTGCTTTTATCTTTCTATTATGTACTTCATCATTTTTTGTGCTTCTATTGTGTTATCTATTTATTCTGTTTTATCTTTTGTGCAGCACTTTGGAAACCTTGTGTTTGTTAAAATCGTGCAATATAAATAAAGTGGACTGGATTGGATTGGATCAATGAAACCTAATTATCGGAATTAAAATAAATTCCATGAATTATTGAAATGTATATTTGTCTAATGATAAAAAATAATTAACATAACAAATTATAGGTACAACAATACACTAACTGATATATTGGACTGATTTGGCCCTTGATTTTGGATATGATGCAGTCTTTAATGAAGTGGCTCTAATAGGCCTTTCTCCTTCACTGTAGTTGTACATGTTACTGTAGGAAAAGCCCAGGTGTAAACAATAAAATGAATGATGACTGAAATCCATTTTGCTGCTTTGGTTTCAGACTCTTGGTATTGTGCACGTTGGCATATTGTCACATTGTCACGGCTTACTAGGACATTTGAATAGAATTAAGTCATAACACCTTTGTTTTTTCTGTACAGTTTTACTGATTTTAACTGATTGCATTGCACTTCAACAAATTACACCCACATTTTCATAAGCAGTTGTTAACATATTATGTTTATTGTATGTTTCAATGGGGAAATGTTTAAGTTACAGAAACTGAATGCCTACATAAAGTACAGACTGTGCACATTTCGGGTCACTTCGGGCAAACAGAATTAAATGTTCAAGAGGGAAAAGAAGCAGAATTATTACGTCTGATATCTTGTATTTTAGTCTAGATTTGCCAATACGGACAAGTCTCTTGTAAAAAAATGAGGCAGTGCTTTCTTTATAGTAATTTCAATTAAAATGGGAGTAAAACCATTATCATTTTCATCGGTAACCTCACAATCACATGCCCAATTAAAGGCCAAACTTTCACAAGGTCTGGCTGGTTAGACCTATACAATAGTTTGGGAAAGAACATAATGAAAAGAACATGCTGACAAAACATGGTGAGCAGTCTTGTCGTTTTCAAACCTGCGCTACTGCAGTTACATTGAGGTAAAACACTGCCATCTGCTGGCGAAAGCACAGACGTGGTCAACGAGAGTGCAGTGCTACCGAACTAGTCACGAGTAACGTCAGACTCTGTAGCAAATCTGCCTCGACTCCACCAATCAGATTATAGAGTATAGGCGGGACTAACGTTACACTCGAGGCAACAACAGGAAGTACACACTCTGCACAGCAATTACTTTTTGGAAAACTTTTACCAACGCAAAACCTACAAGAAATACGTTTAAGGGTCCGTCCATCAGGAGCGTGGAGTGATGTAACGAGTCGGGAGACCCGGAGATAACGTCACTCTCATCGGTTCAGCTCAGCCTCTTCTGCTTTGTTTTGTTTACATGGTGAAACAGATGACAAAGCTAACGGTAGCCACATAGCTCGCTAAAACCGAGTCATATGAGCCGGTAATTACCCAGCAGCTTTGTCCCAACGTGAATGAAACTTCACGTTATTGAGAGAGCCACGGTTTCATGTTGGGACTAGTTAGTAGTGGACGGCTGTTTGTGGTCGGTGGGGACAATGCGAAGCTAACGTGAAAATGTGTCGAGCGTCCGCGAACCTTTGATAGACGAGAGAGAGATTGTTTGTGTCACTGAGCCTGCGGCCGGTTTTAAAGGCCTTTACAACGTCTTCATGTCAAGATGCCTTGTTCCTGTGGGAACTGGAGAAGATGGATTAGGCCGCTGGTCGTCGTGCTGTATATATTGTTGCTGTTAGTCGTCCTGCCCTTGTGCATCTGGGAACTGCAGAAGTCAGGGGTCAGTTCGATCAATTGATTGATTGATAATCTGATTGTCATGTTGCTTAATTTTGTGGGAGCCTTGTTGGTTTAACACAGTGGTGAACTCTTTACTTAGCACATTTGGTCCTCTTTGGCACTACAAATACAGTGTTGAGGCACTTAGACTAGTTTGTAACTGAGTCCTTGAAGTCTGATTTTCTTTTTAAAGTATTCAGAAATGTGATTATTTTTAATAAACAAATCAACTTCATGAATTTGTAGAATTTATGTCTTTCCTCCTCACTCTAGTCCAGCAACCTGCCATAACACTTGTGTATTTTTCCTTTAAATACAGTTTTGAAATTAAGTTGTATTGCTATTTTACTTGAGTAAAGGATCTGAATACTGCCTCCATCCCTGATACTAGTGTAGAAACATTACATTCTAGGTAGCTAAAATGGTAGTTCCCAAACTTAAATGCATAGGTAAGTTTAATGTATGTTAACGGTGTTGCCTGTTTCTTTTCATGTAATGACAGGTTGGTACTCACAATAAAGCATGGTTCATTGCGGGGATATTTGTCTTCATGACCATACCCATATCATTATGGGGAATCCTCCAGCATCTGGTTCACTACACTCAGCCAGAGCTTCAGAAACCTATCATCAGGTAAAGATGTCAACAATCAGGTCGTCCATGAGCAATAGTGTCAAACTGATTTTTAATTGTTTTTATTTTGTTTTTTGTTTGTTTGTTTTTTAGGATTTTATGGATGGTCCCGATCTACAGCTTGGACAGTGTGAGTTGTCTATTATAACAATCACATCCACCGTGCTACACATTCTGTATGTAAACATAAATAAATGCCTTCATCCTCATTTTCCATGTAATCTTTCTCTTTTTCTTAAATCTTGCAGTGGATTGCATTAAAATACCCCGGTATAGCAATTTATGTGGACACGTGCAGAGAGTGCTACGAAGCCTACGTCATCTACAACTTCATGACCTTCTTGCTTAACTACCTGGAAAATCAGTACCCCAGCCTGGTGTTGATGCTGGAAGTCCAAGAGCAGCAGAAACACCTGCCCCCTCTTTGCTGCTGCCCGCCCTGGCCAATGGGAGAGTAAGGTTCCTTTTAGAGTTATAACATTTTTAAAAATAAGGACTATTTACACATACATGCAATCCAAGAGGGACTCTTTACACCAAACTTGTATACATAAAACCTTAAGCAATATCCTCCTGCCAAACTAATACTTTCCAACGGATACACTGTACTGTTACTTGTTGAAACAAAGACATTGTACAACTGTACAAATGTTTACTCTGCACTGGTCAGGAATTTGATGTAAAATTAATAATTGCCCTCCATACATTGACTTAAACATTTCAGCTTTACTGACCATAGTCATTTTGCCTTATTATCTTCTTCAATTTCCAACAATTAGAGATCCAACTTGCTTTTCAATATTATGGATTTATCTGTTTTATTATTGGTGTTTTTGCATAAATGAACATTGTCCATTCGATATTATTTGATTTCAATTAGGTGTTTTAAAGTTTTATTTGTAGGTTTGAAGAAAAGTAGCAATGAAAATTACTTTGAGATGGAAGTGTTTCCTTTTTTTTCCTAAAGTCAACAGATCTCGGACAGTCACCAGCTTCAAATTATCCTCAGTCAGGCAACATCCATAATTGGTTAACATGCCTGTGTGCAGTCAATTTTGTCAAGAGCTTTTTTTTTTTTTTTTTTTTTTTTTTACGATCAGTTCTTGTTTGTTATGATTTGTTCTCCTTCAGAACATTAGCAATTTTATTTGATTTTAAATTCAATATATTTTACCAATATTTTTGGGATAGAAAATTAGATGTTGTTAATCAGTTAAATTTAAATTCAAATTCAAATTATACATTTCCTCCACAGGGTTTTACTTTTGAGATGCAAATTGGGTGTGTTGCAGTACACCGTCGTAAGACCCGTCACAACAGTGATTGCTTTGTGAGTAAGCTCTGCTCTTCATGCACTGAATTTTATTTTCTGATATTTGTACATATATTTGTATTTGTATATGTCGGTTGTGACTGTTTCTTCTCTTTAGGATCTGTCAGCTGTGTGGAGTGTATGATGAAGGCAATTTTAGTTCAAAAAATGCATGGACATACCTGGTCATCTTCAACAATATGTCACAGCTGGTAATACTGCTACTGTTGTTTTATTTTTAGAATTAGTCTGAATGTATTTGCCAAGTAAGGACTGTATCATACATTAGGGCCTGGGAGCGCGTGAGGAGATAAGATCAATGTTACAAGCCGCCTTTGAACTAGATTTTTCTCTGTCTGTCTTCTCTTGATCTAGTTTGCCATGTACTGCCTGGTGCTGTTCTACAGGGCTCTGAGAGAGGAACTGAGTCCCATCAAACCAGTGGGCAAATTCCTATGTGTAAAAATGGTGGTCTTCGTCTCTTTCTGGTAATTACCAGTGTGTTCAAACTTAATGACATAACCCGGAAATTTCTAAAACTTGGCATCAGCTGTTTTTACTCAATATGTTGGTGAACTATGGCTACAGTTTCTTGACTTACATAGACTATCAGATATCAGATTGTGTGGTAGCTACTCAGAATGGTTATTTTGTAAACTCTTTTAGGCAAGCTGTGTTCATTGCTTTACTGGTGAAAGTGGGCATTATCTCAGAGAAACATACATGGGACTGGAAAAGTGTGGAGGCTGTAGCTACTGGCTTACAGGTAAGCTAAAGTGTATCTAGTTAAGACTGTGGCCTCCTCATTGTTGACTTTTTTTTTTAAAGTATCTGATAAAATGTGACTTTTTAAAGATGTGTGAAAAACAACCGCCTAACCAAACGCACCAAACTGTCCTGTTTCCCTCAGGATTTTGTCATCTGTGTGGAAATGTTTCTGGCAGCCATTGCCCATCACTACAGCTTCACCTACAAGCCTTACATCCAGGAGGCTGAGGAGGGTTCCTGCTTTGACTCTTTCATGGCAATGTGGGACATCTCTGATGTCAGAGCAGACATTTCTGAACAAGTCCGCAATGTTGGTAAGTGCCTCCTGGCTACTGGAGTACTTGAACAGTTGTGTGTTTTAATTATCTCTGCCATATTCTCCAACATCGAGAGAGACAGTAAAGACTTTTTTGTCCTCATTGACAGGGAGAACAGTTATGGGTCGTCCGAGGAAGTCTTATTTCGGTGAGGCGGAGAATGACGGTGAGCGATCGGGCCTGCTCTCTTCAGGTTCCCAAGATGCCATCGCAGAGGTGGCATCCAACCCCGTTTCACCCAGAGGTCAATATGAGGGCCTGGGCAGAACCCTCCCGCCGCACTCTCTGTCAGCCCCCGCTGGGTTCAGCTCAGCCCATTGGGATGAAGGATATGAGGCTAGACCTGAAGAAACCCAGGAAGAAGAAAGGACCAACCAAACCAAGGAACCAACAGAGGCAGATCTCATTGTGATCACCTAGCCTATCACCAAGGCTAATGTCACTAATGGACTCTACCAGACATGGTTGGGCAGGACCTAATTACAGCCTTGCCACGTTCCTTTAGACATGACTTTGTGAAAGCAACATTAAATAAACTGTTGTTTGAAAGGGCACATCAACAAAGTAATAGTAGAAGTTTGCCAGCAAATGCAGAACCAGGTGGACCTCTCTGCCAGTGACAGCTCCAAGAATGTTCAGTGAAGATACGGCACTAAGTGATTCGTTGATGATCATTTTATGCAGCTTTTGTTGTCTCTAGGGAGTCATAATGGTTTTTAATTCATTGCAATTGGGAGAAACCTTTGGTCAATTTTAATGTGTGTCCCAAAGAGCACATTTCTCTTCAAAGAACCCAGTCTCTGTGCTGTTATGTTTCTTGAGATGAGATACCACAAAAAGCCTCCTGAAGTCAGAGTGAATCATGTATATGTATCCTTTAATTTTTTTCTTTTTGTGTGTGTCATATCAGTCATATCATGATCTCAGATGTGACAGAAGAGAAATATGCAATTTTTAAAATAACTTTTTTTTTTCTTCACTCACTAGGGATTTTAAAACACATCGATTGAAACGAGTGATCTTCTTATCTAAAATCTACTACACGAAAGCACATTAGATTTTAACAAAATTTCCCTATCCTGTAGATGTAAATCACCGGGTAGAAGAGGGGATGAAAAGAGCAGAAGCAACACATTTTGGGGATGCACAGTTCAGAGTAGGTTAGAGCTTTACCTGCTGAAAGATACGTCCTGATCAACAGCGTGACAACATATTAATACCATGTATTTCCTAAGGGTATGAATAAATACTATAAGTACAGTATTAAAACACCATACATAATTCAGTCTGAAACTGTACAATCAGCACATTCTAGTTCATTTCTATCTACGCTTTACTGCATACAGGTCACTCTAGTGTTAAATAGAAATGACTGACTAAATAGAAATGTCACTAGTCATCTCAGATGCCTTTCTTTCATCATTTGCTATTATTCATCTTATTTGCGGAGATGTTCTCTATTGTTTTTAGCCTTTAAATTGGAAGAACTTTGCAGCTACTTCACGTAAGCCATTTACTCTTCCCATAGATTATCCAAGGTCTTCTGTTGCGGTACGTCCATGGATCTGTGCAGGGATATTGACATGTTTAATGTACAGTGTAAGATATCAGTTTGTGTCATAAAATCAACAGCATTATCTGCATCATGTCCAGCTAGAGAATGTTACATTGCCTTACAGGATTTTATTTTTTTAAATCAAACTGACAGGATTACATCAGAGCTGATATAAATGTTCCACGTGTTAATTTAATTCCATTTCTGACAGTCTCTTCAATAAATAAGAATAGCTACATTTTCAATGCTTTTTTTCTTGAATTTATTAAGAAAACATCAAAGTTATTGTTGAAATGCTTTTATTGATAACAACAAACATCTTTACAAAAACAACTGTGCCCATAATTAAGGGAGAACCATTATCTTTATGTTATATACTTACAAATATTATATAAGTGTAAGTACAAATTATAAATGTCCTGGGATCAGATCGCACAATTTAGAAATAAAAACATAACTTGAATATAACTCATTGTGGTAAATTCTTTAAGATCATAGTTACCCAGATTCCCACTGGAACTTACAAGGGTTTTTGGTCATGCAGGCTTCTACTTAATCTCAGAATAGAGATCCAATATGTCTGGGAAAACTTGAAGACTGGTATTACATTTATGGAAAATGACACTGGAGGTACATTTTTAAATGATACCAGAACGGTAAAAGCATTCCCCTAAGTGTCAATAACCTCTTTGATTGAGGCATAAAATACATAGAAATTAAATTGGTCGCAAAACTACAGTGTAAGATCATTGCTCCATTGGTCTGGTCTCATTGTCTATATGGGCTGACATGGAGATGGTGCTCTTGTGAAGCTTCACAGCGAGGCGGACCCAGTCACCAGCTTGTACCTCCAGGGGCTGCTGCAGCACAACAGCCGCCTGCTTCCAGTGAGAGTTCTTGCTGAGGGTGCTGACGCTGATCTCCTGGTCCAGGTAGATGTGGTACCAGAAAGGAATTGCAGTTATTCTGCCAGCAGAAGTAGCCTGAACCTGGGAAACAGGAATTACGGTTAATGGTACGTGAGAACAGTAAGCTACTAATATATTGTACCCTGTCAAATACCTGTAAATAACTAGTCATGTTTTGCTCCTGTTTAAAAATAATATGACACATATGAAAAAGTACAATTAAATTAGCTCATTGTTCCATCCTGACCAATAAGTTGTTTAAATTTTTCGCATTTAATATTTATGAGCATCTGGGGATATTGCACATCATCTTAAACCACTGAATGAACGTTAAAACAAACACGTGGAGGTGACTGGAAAACATTTTAATGTTCCAAAGCTAAACTATTTCCAACTGTTTCATGACAAAAAGTTTTAAAATTCAAACTGTGGTTTAGTGCTGAATTTATCTCAAACCAAAAATACAAAGTTAGGAGGTAAAGTTAAGTCAGTGTGAGGGAGATGTGCACAGTATGACTTATTTCTATGTTTTTAGTGCAACATGTTCATGTACCAGAAAGTAGCTATGGGATTTTTGCTTTTCTATATTGGCAAAGTCAATATATGAATTCAGGTTTCAGCAGTTCAGTACTGTTGCAGCACAGCACATTATTAAAGACAGTTTAATAATATTAATTCCAATTATCTCATTAGGCTAATTTCATAGAGTACAGTCTAGACCTGCTCTATATAAAACGTGTCCTGAGATAACTTCTGTTATGAAACAAATTGAAATAACGTATGCCTTACCTTTACTTCTCTGTTAGTGTAGTTTGCAGTGGCATCCATTAGGTCAAGAACAAAGAGCTCCACACACTCACTAAGATGCCTGCACTCCAGTGTGGAGAAGTCCAAAAACACATGGACCGGTACCTAAAGGACATAAAAGACAAACATAATGTCAGCGAGTTTGTTTGCAGCAGATAAAACAAAGGGCTATCTGCTGACATGATCAGTAAGGAGCTACATATTATAAAAATCCATAAAAGACCAGGGAGGAAGTGCTACTTGGACCTGACAGCGATGTAACACAAAACAGGTGCTCGTCTCCTGATGCCCAGGTTGGCAACCACTGTCCACAAAAGAGGGAATGGATTTCCAAAGACCAAGGCACACTGTTTCGTTGTTATAAAGTCTTTATCATTGTGGCTACATTATTTTTTAGTAAAAGGGCTCAGAAAGAGAAACACTGCTGCAGTGTATTAAAATATAAGTAAGGCTGTATTTTTATATTACTTTTTAAAATGAAAACTAAAAAAAAAGTGGCAGAAGTCTCACAGTTGTTGGCACTCCTTCTCAAAAACCAATATTTATCCACATTAGGTTGTAATTTAGTGGATCATCATCATTCAATCACTGATGCTTGGAAAACTAATCTTCCACCTCAAACTCTTCCAAACCTAACAGACAGGCCGTGGCTGCAGGGCATCAGCCTTAAAAGCTGAGGGAGAAACCAAAGTGGCAGCACAGAAAGTGTCACTGTTTCCTTTACTGCAGAACAAAAGAATCTTTCCTCCTCCCTGTCACAGTTGTGTAGACCTCAGAGCCCGCTGTTTGATGTGCTTGATGTAATGTGTACTGATGGATTCAGGTAGGAATGTCTTGGGCCAAGCTGTGTGTTGTGTCTTGTGTGACAGTTGTGCTAGAAAAGTGCCCTCCACTGAGGGCTTCAAAGACAACATCTGTTAAAACAAACGACTGTCCCGTGTGGGGCCTGCGGAATTAGAGCACAAACATGATGCTGGAAAAATAATTTCCAGACCAAATAAAGAAAAAGAATTCAAAGGGATTTTCACAGCTTCTTTAAAGCAGCTGGGAAGAGACATCAAAGAGGAGTGCACAACAGAAAACGCAGTCCTGGACCTTAGTATTCCAAGTGAAATACATTGTCCAACAAAAGACAGCCTAGACATGGTAGGAAACAAAAAAATAAATAACTGGATGTACAGTCTGGCTGATTAACCAGGGCAAGTCAAATTTGTTCTGAGATTGTTTTCTGTGCCTCTGTAGTATTGCACTATATGTCAATCATATTTAACAAAACCCACAGGCAACACATTTGCACCTAATGGGCGAACTTTGAATGTGAATGATGCAAGCTTACAAACACAGCATACTGTATGTGAAAACTGTCAATATTGACTGTTGCCTCAGGAACATGAGACAGAATACAAAATATGAGTGGCCCGAGATGTACAAAAGAAAGATTTTGCAACTCGTGTTATTATAAAGTTTCAGCTCGACAATGAAAAAAAAAAATACGATAAAAACACTACTTAGTAAGAATACATTTTATGATGAAAATGAATAACCTCAACTGACGTCCTTTGAGATGGCCTTTTAATTTCAAATTTTCATTTCATTAGATGGAAACTCAATGTGCGAGATTTGTGAGATCAACATCAATAACAATGTATCGGCCAATATAAATTTTTTAACATATATAGATAAACATTTTTGATAAGGATCCCATACATTTGGTTATTAAATATTTGCAACAAGGATTAGTAGTGAGTGGGACATTTTACACTACAGTTAAACTTCAGTGCCCCCCGGTGGACATTTCTGCACTGAAAATTGTCGTAATTTAAACCAATACATCTGTGATAAGCTACCATCAAGCCATACCAATATCACCTGACAGTTTGAACCAGTCACTGACAGCACTGCAACAGCTGATCAATGTTGTTTTAATTTAAAAGTCACTGCGGTTCAACTGCCATTTCACGATCTGCACCATCAACTTTCCCTGTTTTGCTTAGTCGCTCAAGATGTAACTTTTTCTCTATGAAAATACAGAGAAGCAAGCTAACCCTTCCTTTGGGATTTGCCTCAGTTATGGTGGCCTACAGCTTTTTTTCAAGATAAAAAAAAAAAAAAAGTAAAATAAAAAAAGGGGGTCAGTGGGCATGGCCTAACCTACAGCAAACCCTGCAGTGGCCATTAGTTACAAGAGTAAAATCTACAGAGTAGGGTAGGTATACTTACAGTGAACTGGTTGATGAAGGGGGCAATATTGAATCCCAGTGTTGGCTCCTGGCCCTGGACGGCACTTTCTAGCAGCAACGTGTCTGACTCCACCAGCATACCATGCACCACAATCTTTTCTGGGAAAATACGTCCTCCTTCCTCCAGAAGACACCTAGTATAGATCATAGAAGTATACTTTACCTAAATTGATAATCATAACACATTTTCTGCAAGCCCCACTCTGGCCACTTCCCCTTACCTGGCCAGTGAGGCTTTCTCCATCAACTTCTGTCTAATGAGACCACAAGTCTCTACACAGTCCAGTATGATGGCACTCCACAGTTTCTCTCTGGACGGCCTTTGCAGTATCCCGTGCTCGTCGTCCACATGGTTGAGCCAGAACTCTAGATGCTGTTCAGGGATATTATTGGAGCGGGCCAGTCTCTTTAAGACTTCCTGTTGCTTCTTCTTTTCCACAGAGCTGTACGCTTTTACATGGCCGTGGCTGGCAGCGATGAGGGAGAGCAGAGAGAAGCCCTCTGACACATCGAGGACATAGAGCAGGTCACTAGAGTCTGACTGAACACCTGATCCTCGCTCTTGGTTTTGCCATTTAACCTTCAGCTGGGACATGAGTTTGGCCAGTGCGCTGCAAAAGCTCTGATGGTAATCATGGTTGTTTAGGAGCGCCATTTCTGAACATTCCAGCATGCTGAAGTCTTTTGTTTGATTCTGGTTGGTCTGAAGGCACGCTAGCGCACTGCACAGTTCCGCCTCTGGGTTTTGATTTGAAATGGGGTTTCCGGTGTACTGCGAATCCACACGCTTGTCTAAACGGATTTCGTGCCCGTCTCTCAGCACAGCGACACTGCAGAGCCTCAGGTAGGCATCTCGGCAGGAGACTTCAACAATCAGCTCGTCTAGAGGTTTCAGGAGAAAACCTGAAAAGAAACAAAAGAAGGAACCAGTGACTCGGCCTGATTATACTAGAGCCATGTGAAACTCAATAAACTGAAATGCACTGCAGCACAGTAACTGAAAACTGTCAAGTACCGAAAATGGCACTGGATGTCAGGTCATAATCTTGTTTACTTACAGTGGTTTTTTTTTAAAAATCAGAGTTCCTGATTTAAATCGTCTTTTTTCCAGTTTAAGACTTTCATTTAGTCGAAGATGGCATTTAAAGAAGGATAGTGTAGAAAAACATCTTTATATTTTTTTAGAGTTAAGTATCAAAAAAGGCTTTTCCGGTATCAGTACTAAGACTAAGGTATTATATCAGTACTAGTATGGAAAAATGCCAAATGATATTCAGTCCTAGACTTATGTGAATTCAACAAAAAAAAAAACTAAAAAGAAAACGTACTAAACACCTGAAATGACAAACAGTAAGGGAAAAATAAATACAGATAAATAATTACTTAATTATTTATAATGTCATGCTGACAGGGATCTAAGGATAGCGGGTGCTACTGTACAGATTGTAAAGCCCTTAGAGGCAAATTTATGATTTTGGGCTGTATAAATAAAATTGACACTGGCATGACAAATGTTAAAAGGGTAGAAAGAGAGAGAAACAGAGAGTGAAGAAGAAGCAGTAGATGTAGAAAAGGAAAGGGAGAGAGTGAGCCCGACAGAGAAATGAGATTCAGGGGACTGGGTGCACAGAGGGAGGGGGAGAGGCACAGAAAGGATTCCTACAGGAATAACATCTGTTCATGTCTTCATGTCAGTGCGCGGCTCGTCAGGGGCATTTGGGAAAAATGCATATTTATTGCCTATAAGAATTTCATGAACACTAAAGAGTGTCACAGGCGATCACGGCGCACACGTCACAGCGGCCCGGGAAACGGATGTTGGTGATCACCGGGAAAGGTGGCGGCTCCCTTGACGCTGCCTTCGCCAATTAGCGGTGCAGTGAAATGCTGTTGAGCCCTGTCTGAAAGATGATGTTCTGCAATGCCAACTGGAACATGTCACCTCATGTCGGAGCCTATTAAGTTCACAGCGGCCTAGCATAATAGCAAAGTAAAGAATGTACAGTTCTCTTAGGGACCCTGTTTAAACTTTTTGCAGTTCCTGTCAGTTTGGTATAATAGCTTTATTGCACTCCTTAAATATCATAAAAATGTGTGTTATAATTATTTAGTACAATAGTGAATTTCATTAATGGATCTTGCAAATGTACCGTAATTTTTACACTGACATACTGTGGACTTCAGTGATGATAATTACGTAATAAAGTGTCTTCAGGGAGCTAAATCTTTAGGTGCTATCATCCTGTTATTACAATACATTATTCTCAATATTTTCCCATGGAGAGCAACTAAAAATAGTCAGAAATGTTGGTCAAAAATGAACTGAGGTTGAAGTATAACATTAGTAATGATAAAAACGTTAAATACTGTATGTGATCTACAACATACACTGCCCTCAATTGATGTAAGCTGGAAATGCATGATAACTCAGAGTGGAGAATACAAGTGGAGCAGAAAATAGACCAAACTAAACTTGCTAAAGTCATGAAAAAGCTTGCGACAATTAAAGGACATCAGTAAACATCACAGTGAAATTTTGTTTGTGTCTCCCTGTGTGTGTCCACTGAATCGTACCCTTGGTGCTGTGGACAGGGTAGATGGCTTGCTCCCAGCAGGTGTCCTCCTGGGGTCCCGTCGACAGACTGCTCTCCTCATCCAGGTGGAGCTGGAACCACACAGCCAGAGCATCCAGTTCCCCCTCCTGAGTGACAGGCAGGTGGATCTTTTGAACCTCTCTGGAGCTCAGCCCCTCCAGTTCCTAAAGGTTACCATTACAAACAGTTAAAAAAGGGACAGTGGAGTTAATACAGTGATATCGGCTAAAACAGCAAACATCGAAATCAGGTTTGGTTGTACAAATAGTACAAAAAAGTGCAATATGGGTATTTGAGAATTTGACAGTTTGGGCGTTACTGGTCTTTTAAAGCCCAACTTGTTTTTGTAAAACTGGGGATAGTTATGTAAAAAAAAATGTTTTGTACACTGAGTATAAATATACTGCGGGTTTCATAAATCACAAATCTAATTCCAAACCCACTGTATTTTCATCCAGTCCAATAACACCGATATGATATTAAATCCGGCCTGCCTTGCTGCTGGCAAGCACCATGAATACACATCTCTGTCACAAGGAGTTCTCAACAGCATTGTGTGTAATACAGAAAGCATTTCTTATTCTCTTATTGTTGTGAATGTATCACTTGAAGCAATTCAGCATATTTTACATAACATAGGTTTGATGTACTGTGATTCTGGTGATTGTTGTATCCACAAGGCTGAATGCACTTATTGTAAGTCACACTGGGTAAAGGCGCCAGCTAAATGAATGTAATGTGGCACTTTGCAAGTAAACCAGGGGCTATTTTAAAATAGCTAAAAATCACACAGAAATTAAATGATGATGGAAAATTTCAAGGTCTGTTTATATTCTATATGAGAAGTCATTTGAACCCTGAGGTTTAAAGCTGGTCATGGAAATAGGATTTGAATGGAAGATTGCAAGAATACAAATGGAAACCGTCCAAATGTGGAAGAATGAAATGCAGCAAGGGAAACTTTTATTATTTTTCAGTCCTGCTTACTTTCATATTTGTGGGATTCACAATTCATTTTCTATGCTAATGTGAAACATATGCCAGGGTACTACATAACTAACTGAATGACAATACAGAGTATCACTGTCTAATCCTAGACACATTATCACAGTTCAGGCTAAGTCTGTCTCAAAGTCCCTAGTTCTTAGCAGTGAATTTCAACAAATGATCTTACAGGTAATGCCTGGCAGATAAACACTGCCTCTCCAATCTGCCAGGTGTGGACTGGGAGCCAATAAATCAGGCAACAATCCCTGCAGGCCTGTAGCTAAATAGTAAGTGGCCACTGATGTGCAATATTTTAGCCTGTGAGGCAGCCAATACGTTAGTTTCCTGGGACCAATAGACATATGGTCATGTGAATTAATTATTTTTCTCAGAGTTACATTCTGCTTGACTCCATGCAGCAAATTGAACATTAGGATTTCTCATTTGACTGAATATCAGACACAAAGGTCATGCAAAAGTTAAGTAAAGTCAAAACGCATTAAAAGTAGTAGTTCAATTAATCTTAGTTGAATAAATTCAGTAATCATTTCTGAAAGTCTCCCACAGTGTATCAGCATCTATTGTCTTGCTCGTTTCTGCTCACCTGCACGTTGTTGAAATCTATGTTGAGGGCTGTGAATGGCTCTGTGAGAGGTTTATATCCCCCTGGCAGTCTGCTAAGTCTCTCAGTGGTGTAAGGCTCCATGGAGTCATCCGGCTCAGAGCTGCAGCTCACTGGGCTACGGAGCTCCCCGGCTGCAGCCAAGGACAGACTGCCCACCTCTGACACGCAAAGCCTGTGTGAAACAACAAACAGCGATCTAATGAGGGGTCCCGACACTTTGTGCTAGGCTTATTAAAAGCACCTTCTTCTGTTCGTCTCAAAATCATTTATAAGAACTAAGAATGTAATGGATGGAAAGCAATTTCTTTTGCTGTTCTGATATGTGATTATATGAAACACACACACAAAGCCCACTCACAGGACAGAGTCCAGGGCCTACCTGTGATGCCTGCGGATCTCGAGGCACTCGACAGCCATACCAAACACTGTTGCTCCAGCAGGGATGACCCGTCCTGTCGCAGACTGTTCCTGGAATTCATTCTCGCCTCTCTTTTAGGACAAGAAACATGTGCTTATAACTAACACATAACAGCTGTGAAATGTCACCACTCAGCTCAGGTATCATGGAACTTGCCTCAGTTTGCCAAAGAGATCTGCACTATGCTGGATGTTTAAAAAACAACTTCCTGGGGATAAACCTTTTTGCCTTGAAGCCATCATTACTTTTGTTCTCTGAGAGGCTCAAACATTTCATTACCTGGTCTTCCGAGTCCTCCAAACCCACACCCTGAATTGTGTCAAAGCATCTGGCATCATTATTTACAACATTCTTTTTCAGATTTCTGAAGACTTTTTAGGATTTTCAACCCTTTTTGTGAGTGGCAAACGGCAACTAATTAAAAATATGAATATTGCACTGTGGCAACTGAAGAACAAAGTTCTGTTTCCTGTTCCGTGTTTGTGTTTAATAATTTACGTTACCTGTGGAGGTAGCAGCAGGTGGCGCCAGGCATGAATGAGACTCTCTATGATGCCCTCTCCAAACAATCCTGCATCCACCGTCTCCGTCACTACCAAGGACACTCTAAGAAAAAAAAAAAATTTAATGAAAAACATGAGAAATACCATTTGGTAAACACAACCATGGATTTCATAACATTTCATGCAGGATTAATGTAAAATAGTTTTGGCATGAATTGTACCTGTGTGGGATGTCCTTTGGCACTTCCATCTCCAGAGACTTCATATGGAGGATTTTAATGCAACCATCCATCCCATTAGCAGTCACCACCTCACAGGCCAGCTCATACATCGTCTTCGAGAGCTCACAGGCGTACACCTCAGCAGCTCCCGCCTTCTTAGCGCACATACTTAACAGAGAGAACCAGGAATTCAGAATAATAGTACAGGCCCTATTCTAGCTGTAGTCAAAAGAATAAACTTGCAACCAATAAGTAGTCTTAATTACTAAAATGCGTCTAAAGGAGAGAAGGCTTTGCCGGAGTGTAAACTTTAAGTCTTTTTGGCATGCATTACACATATAAGAGGCGTAACACACAGCTGCATATATACAAACCATGGCAGGAGCAGGACTCTATAAATGTCAATTTTCTTTTTCTCTTATAAGTTTATATTAGTTACTTAGATGATAAAATGGCAGCTCCGAAGCAAAGTCTAATTTTTTAAAAGCCTGTTGCCTTGATTCCTCTCTCCTTGTGTCTCCTCGCATCTCAGGTGGGAGGGACTAAAACTCAGGGAGAGGAGACAGGCAAAGGAATCGAGGATGGACAAAATTGAGAAATGAGAAAAGGGGAGTGTGGGTTTGGGCTCATAAAAATTTCTAACTTAAAAAATAAATACACTCCATAACTTAGAGAGTAAAAAGTTCTCATGGAAAATATCTCACCCAAGGATCCCAGTGCCAGTACCTATGTCAAGTACAGTGTTGCAGCCACTCTGCACAGCCTTCTGAATGGCTTGCTGGTACTTCCGGTTCCTCCCACGGTCGTTGAGCATTAGGAAATGCCAGCGCTCCACCAGCCAGTTGGCCACACGGTAGAAGTTCTCCCTGGCTTCTGGGTAGTCTGGTCTCAGCTTCAAGGCTTTATGGAAATGACCCGCAGCCTCGTCTCTAAAGCCCATTCTGGATAAGAAAAGAAAAATCACAATATAGTTAAAAAAAAAAAAAACCACAACAACAGTGTAAGCAGATAATTCATCTAAATAATATAACACTACAGGATAATACAGTAATTACAGGAGCGCTGATGCATGGTAATGAGGGTAATACCTGAACAGGTGTTCACCCATGCTGTTCAGGATGACCTCATCAGCAGGAAACAATTCCAGCGCTTGTTCATAACAGTCAAAGAGGTCTTGAATGCGGCCCACAGAGTCCAGCTCTTCTGTCCATTTGAACAGAGTGAACCTAAAGGACTCCTAAAGGGGAGATTTCACAAAATTTAGACATCTTTTTCGATTGTGCAGCAGTAAAAACACTCTGCTGCTGGCAGACTGCTTCGTGTGTAAACAGTCATTACCTTTGCGAAGTCCTTAAACACTGGTGCAAGGTTGAGGACAAGAAGGTAGTGCACAAACGCAGTTCCATAATCTTGGTTGAACAGGCACTGCTGGGCACTTTCTAGGGAACTAGAGACCAGCTCGTTCCTGGCAGGGTCCTCTCTGCGTCGCCTTCGGGCCCTCCTGCCGTGCTTCGGCCTTGCACTGGCATTAGGCATCCCTTGCACACAAAAAAAAGGAGTGGAGAATCTATTAGGAAACGATAATGTCTGATAATACAATGTACAGATTTTAGGGAAGTAGTATGTATGATGAACTTTAAGACTTTCTCTAAGATTATATATATATATATATATATTAGAAGCTTCCTGTTGCTAGGATACAGAGAAGTGGCTCTTAACTTTGCTGCAGTTTTTTTTTGCACAGTACGTTAATATGATGTTGTGCATAGAGTAGACTAGTATTTTATGAATGTTTTTATGAAATGTTTCGTATTTGTATTCATATTCGTACTTATAATAGTACTAAGGTCCCACATATGACACTGTACTGTACGGCAGCCAATTCCTGCCAGGAAAAGACAAAAACAAATTCATCAAAGTCAATTATTTTTATTTCTTGCTCAAATTTTTTGTTTTACTTTAATTTTTTATATTAATTATTATTATCTAGGGTTGGGGCATTGCAAGTGTAATAGCTCAGGCTATACACGCTGTTGTGTGTGGCATTTGTTTGTGCTAAATACACACAAACTAACCCTAAACAAATAATAAAATAAATCTAATTTTGAATAGGGGGTTCCATTTATTTATCTTTTTTTAAGGTTTGTTACTCCACAATATTAGTTACTATATTTAAGACAAACCTGTAATCAATAACGTCAACATAAACAGGAAACACTACATAAATAAGCTACTGCTCATTAGTAGAAAAATAAATTTAAAAAATGCTAAGTAACTCACAGGCATTACCGACCATTTATCTCGACTTACTGTGTCTTTAGATCCCAGGCTGTGAGGTACGGGACCGGGAACGATCCCCTCTGCTGTCAATGTTCGTTAAGGTGTCGTTGCTAATTGAACAAACACGCAAACATCATAACATTTCGGTTATTCTGTCCAATAGAGTCGTTAGCATTAACTGTGAGCAGTCCTTCCGTCGGCTCACATGATAAAAGAAAAGCTCTTCTGACAGTCGCTGCGATGAATCATGAATAATAACTAATGCCTGTTTCTGTTTATATTCACGTTACAACGGCTAGTTGTTGATTAAACCCGTAAATCACATTGCTGCTAAGCATCATGCATCACCTACCGCTAAACAAGAAAAAGTGTCCGCCCGCCGCAACAGCTCGGTAAGAAAACACGTAACTGGAAAAAAGGTTCCGTTGTTTTCACGGTTATTAGATTTTACGTTACGAGCAGCACGCGTTAACCGTAGAAAACACGGTAAATAATAATCTTGCGTGTTTATTTACAAATTACGCTATAGTCAACGCTACCGCCTTAGATTAGTCTCTTAGGAAACCAATCACAGGCGAGTCGTGAAGCACAATCAAAGTGTAGAAAGAGACCAAGATCATTCACACCCATTAAAACGCTTCCGTAATGTGATTTACCCGCGTTTAATGTCTGGCTTGTGGCATTCTAGTAGATTAAGTATGAATTATTTGCCCACTCCAAAAAGAGAGACCATTGTCAGTGCTTTATAGTGTGTGTGTGTGTGTGTGTGTGTGTGCAGCTTGTTAATGCGCGCACAGGTGGCTGATGGTCGCTCAACCTTGTAGCAGAGTTATTATAAGTTTGTAGATTTTATAAGTTTTTAGTTTTCATTTTCAGCTCAAGTAGTTTCAGGAAGTTTCCAGAGTGGGTTTCGTCATTTTAATTTTGTTTTACTTTCAGTTTTAATTTGAGGTTTTATTAGTTTTGGTATTAGTTTTTTATTATAATATATAATATTTAAGAAGTTCAGAATGGGTATTACAATAAAAATGGCAGTTGACTCACAGTCATGTAGATATCCCAGTATTAAACACATGCACCAATGCCAACACCAAGTTTTCTAGTATTTATTTTTATTTCTGTTAACTAAATTGTTTTTTTCATACCTAATTCTACTTTTTAGTTTAGTTTAAGTTAACCATAATAACCTTGCCATGTAGCCCGTCCACCGTTTGTGATGATCTGACTGAGGAGCTTGGTAGGAAGCACTTTTTGGATACCTGGGATTGGTTTTGAGTTGGATTCTGGTATTCTTGACGGTCTAGCTGCTGTAGGAACTGAAGGATACAAACGGAAATAACATCGGCCTGCTCTCAGATTTGATCTTTGTTGTAATGCTTTCCACTTTGATTGTTCTGTTGGAGAGCCTCTGCTTCTCTGTTGTGTTTCCCTTGCCATGGTTACGGGCCACTTTGCACACCCTAAGGTACTTTCTATGGTTCTTTCATACTGCACACTTTATACCTTTCTGTAAACTGTACAAGTGCAGGTTGTACTTCCTGTCAACCCTCTACACACCAATAACTGTACCAGGCCCTCACCTATCACCACATACATCAAATACTCTGATAATGACAATAACTCCATTCTAAGCTATCTAGACTCCATCTCCCACTTCACACAGTGGCGCACAGACAACAATCTGCAGCTGAATGTCACAAGAACTGTAGCTTAACACCTTCAGCACCCACAGCACAGCCCCCATCTCCACCCGCAGTCCCACCTGCATCAATAATGAAGCTGTTGAGATGGTGGAGTGCTTCACAAACACTGCCAACAAAGACTCTTTGCTATCTACAAAGTCAAGGCTCTTTCTGTTGCCCGCCACCTATCTGCTGCTGCTTTATGAAAGTATTATACAACCCATTCTCCTCATACTGTTCCACCTGTTTCTTTAACATGTTAACTGCGTCCAATGGGAACAAACTCATACGCATGATAAACAGCGGCTCTAAAATTATTGGTCTCCCGAACCCCAACCTGTCAGACCTCAAGAGCAACCCCATCACACGCAGAGCACACATCATTGCACACGACCCCAGGCACCCCCTCAATCAATTGTTTACAGTGCTCTCATCCAGGGGCGCAGATACAGATCGCTGGCCTGTAAATGAGCTCGCTATGGCAGAAGTTTTGTACCTTATAAATACCTGCATGTATGTACAAATGTGCTGTGTTTAGATCTTGTGTCAATGTTGTGTGTATACGTATGAGATTATGTACAGACTGTGGCAACAAATATCCTGGAAAGGACAATAAAGAATCTATTTATCTACTTTTACATAAGTAAAAGATCCAAATACTTCACCCGGTAAACTTCCCATTTCACCAAGGATACGTCTCCTTGGGGACATTTTCATTTAGAGTATTAACAATTGGATTAATAATGTGCTCGGCTGACTCTAATATGTTGAAAAGAGTCCCAAACTGCACTAAAGATGTGGAGGGAACAAATTATAGAAATTGTTGCGTGCTAAAAGATGCTGGGAAGACTGAACTATAAAAATAAGTTGGTTAAGGAACAATCTGACAGCTTTAGTGGATATATGTCCAGAGAGAGCAACCTAACTTCAAAAGAGTATGATCGTTTTGTACTGTAGCTATGTAATTTTTGCCATGTACTAATACAAACTACATTATTATAACCAAATATCTGCCTTTCTCATGTTAATGTATGTTGTTTTTTTCCGTTTTTTTTTTTTTTTTTGTTTTTATTGTTTTTGTCTTTTTTTTTTGTCGCTGGATATTCTTGTTATAAAATGCAATAAAACTGGGAGCCCCGGTGGCTCGCCTGGTGGAGCCCCATGTGCTGGGTCCTTGATGCAGCAGCCATGGATCCGACCTGTGGCCCTTTGCTGCGTGTCATCCCCTCTCTTTCCCCCTTTCCTGTCTATCCTCAGCTGTTCTGTGTAAAAAAAAATGCAAAAAGCCTCAAAATACATACAAATAATTAATAAAATGCAATTAAAATGATATATATATATATATATCATTTTAATTGCATTTTATGCACCGGGGCTCCCAGTATATATATATATATATATATATATATATACAAAAAAAAGATCAGAATACTTCTACTACTCATGACATATTTTGAACCAGTGCTCAGCGGGCAGCGAAGCGAAAGCGGAAGCACATACGACGTCGTCATCTTGGACCCACCACACACTCTTTGGGAGAAGTTTGCTACACGCACACAGATGTCAGCAGAGTTTCTCAATCTGTCACTTCTCTAGGTGGAGTGCGCTTGATGGAGCAAGGAAAAATCGGATACAGCAACCATGACTTTCTGACAACTCCTGTGAACCGGCTTCCGATGAACACTTGAGCCGAGAGCGTGTTTTTATCACCCTCAACACGTTATACCTGTTAGCGACTCCTTTTTTTTCCTTCGTTATTTGACAACTGTGGAACAACACCCATGCGCCTGTGTCAGAAGTTGCCATGCTAACCACCGTTAGCTGCTGCTTCTTCACGTAGCTATGTTTTCTCTGCTAGCGAAGAAAAGTGGTACTGTAGTTGTGGAAGTCTAGTTTGTTTTGTTGTTGTTTTAAAGCTAGAAAGTACGTGTCATTTTAGAGTAGTTTCCCACCTCCTCTCTGTGTAAAAACGAAGCTATCAATCTGTCAGAAATGGGACTACACCCGCTGGAATTTAGTGAATGCTATCTGGACAGCCCCTGCTTCAGGGAGAAAATAAAGGCACACGAAGCAGAGCTGGACAAAACTAACAGATTTATCAAAGAGCTGTACAAAGATGGGAAGAACCTCATCAATGCAACAAAGCGTAAGTTGATTTTTCACGTTATACTGTAAGAAAGGTGTCAGAAAACTCATGCACTTGCCTTGTGAAGAGGTCTGGATGGTGCTGCTCAGTTTTGCCATTTGGTTTTGTTGTGAGTGGGGAAAACAGCTTGTTTAAGAGTTATAGATGATGAGATTATTATGAGAGACTAGGCATGATAACAAGGTGAAGGTGTGGTCTTTTTGAATATAGTTTGTTTTGTATTCTGCACAGTTATTCCCATTGTATAAATAATATTATATATAATTCCTGAACCAAAGGGCCCAGCAGAGTTATTATATGTTTTTGTATTTTGCATTAGTTTGTATTATTCTTTCTTTCTTTCTTTCTTTTAATTGTAACTTCAGGTACTTTCCAGAGTGGGGGTTTGCTGGTTTCAGTTTTGTTGTTATTGTTGAACAATGTTTGGTTTTTACTTTAGGTTATATTAGTTTCAGTGTTCATTTATTTTTGCAGATATTGTAATTACAATATGATTCACGCTTTGTGGGAATGATCATTTTTGCATCACAAATTTCATTTTCACTTCAAAAAACTATAAAAAAAATCATGAGGATGGGACATTTGTTGGGGTTTGTACAAGATGAACATGATTTCTTACATCTGGAGAACAGGATCTGTAGACCAGGACATCCCATGCAGCACTACAGTACCTCATTATAATGCTGTTTGTCATACATTTTACCTTCATCGAATCATTGCAGCTTCTGTGAGATGGTTATTGCACTCGATAATATTTAGATTAACCGTGCAGCCCTGTTGGGGTTTTTTTTTTTGCTAGGGGGCGAGATTGAAGAGGCTCAGAATAGGTATTACTATGCAATCACAACTCTTGATGAAGACAGTTGACTCACAGTCATGTGGTAATCCCAGCCTCAATAAACAGATGCACCAATGCCTCATCGTGCTTGTTGTGTTGACATATACGCCCAATCTTAGACTAAGAGACTAAAACTTAAAGCATTTCCTGTATGTTTGAATTTAGTTTCAATTAGTTTTCCAAGTACACAATGTCGTTTCAGTTCTTTATATTTCAGTTTCTTCACAGCTGGTTTTAGATTTTACTTTAGTTAACTATAATAACCTTGGCCCTGAGTTCTGTTGATAACGCCTCTGCTCTTTATTCTCTCAGTCACACACACCTCAGCTGGGTTGAAATTATTAGATTGTTATCTCTTTGAACTCTAGTCTTGTGGGCAGGGCTCGCCTCAAGGTGCCCAGTGCTTATCAGAGATCTTACAGTTATGTTTTGTTCAATAGTTTTTGGGGGTTTTTCAATTCAGTTTACTTTCAGGTAATTTCCAGAGCTGGTTTGCTTGTTTCAGTTTGGCTTCTGTTATTTAAAATGTTTTAGTTTTAGTTTAGTAGATGTTCCAGTCTCCGTAAACAGATCAAATCGACACAAACTCTTTAGTTTTTTAGTTCCAAACTATAATAACCTTGTTGCTTAAACTTTAACAGTCATCAGAAATAGACTGCTGTTATGTGTCTTGTTGGAAAATCCTTTAGGCTCTTTATATAATGCTATATGATTGTATCCAATCAAAATGCTATTAAACATCTCAAGTTTCTGAAAGATTTATTGTCGAACGTGACCTAACAATATTTAAAGTCTTCAAAAAATAACCAGCAAAGAATTTCAGTCCTGTGGGAATGTAACAGTTGACACTAATGTTGTTTTTTTAAGCACATCATTAATGATACAGTAGTATCAATGCTGTGTTGACAGATAGGCTCCAGGCGTGTCCCAGCAGCAGTGCTACAATTGCTTAGAGCTTTGGACCGTCACACAACATGTTTTTTTCTACTCTAAAAGCACCAGACTTACTTCACCGTGTGTGTTTCGATAATGCTAGTTAGTCACAGGTACGTCAGGTATGTCTTTCATTTTGCCTTTAGGACAGCCTAATTTCTTCAAGGCACAGATTCCACAGGGATCTTAGTTCAAGCTGACTTCTTCTTCGTGTCAAACAGTTTTTTTTCCAGCAGATTTTTGTGGCACTTTTATGGTCTGGAAACAATGTAATATTCATTCATTCGGGTCCAGGCCACAAGCCAAATGTGGCAGTAAAGTTGTGCCAGGAATCCCTACGCTGCTTAAACAATGTTATATTTTACCGTGTCATGATAATATGATCATATTGTGTTATCAAAAGATTGTGCAAATTTAAAACATATTATTTTAGTTTTTTGCTTTAGTCATTTTACGAGTTTAGTCTGATGTAATGCAACATTTCATTGTTCTCAACACCTGGAAAATCTGAGGTCATTGCTGGTTTGTGGAGTGAACTGAAATCACTGTCACTCACATCTTGAAACAGCAGGTGCTCCAAGATTTGGTAGAAAGCAAACAGCAGCAGTGCTATTTAGGTGCCCTACGGTGTGTCAAGTGAAAACCTGTACTGTTGACACCAGGCACGGTGGATCTATAGATTCAAGCTGTTTAAGCACGTTGCTTTCTCCTCAATCACCTCCTCTGTAGATTCAGTCTTGCTCTTACAGTAGCTAACCTGAGAGGAACCCGGCGTGGCCTGATGGTGCCGTAGCTCCTTCTGCGTCACACTGTCCTCCTGTACTTTCCTACTGTACTATTGTGACGCTAAGCATGTCATTTGCATACTTGCGGTCTATTGTAGCTGTTAGTATGAGTGAGGGTTGCTTTTCTGCTCTGACCTCTCTCATCACGGTGAATATCCCCCCAAAAAATTACTACTTAAATACGCATATCACAACTTTAGATCTATTAGTTTGTGTGAAAATATCAGGAGGGCAGTAGTTTTTCAAGCAAAGTGATCATACCCTGTGTCCAGCATTGCCTAAATAACACACTGTTTCCATTTGCAACCTTCAAGTAAACAGTAAATTAAGCATCCTGACTTTCTAGCTATGTTTAATATACCTGCTGTGAGATTACTTGTCACTTTCCTCAGCCTTAGTTGTTGCGGTCACGTGGCGTTACCAGGCAAACCTCCACAGAGCACTACGGTGAACTCTGGTATTAGCCGTTGCTCACAGATGAGCTGATATTGATGCTCAGCTATGTTGGTGTAAACTGATACGGCCATATCTCGTTTCAGGAGGACATGTCACGTCTTGTGTTTCGCGCCTAACCTGACTATAGCTAAACCGTGCGTCACTTTTTTAAATTTGTGTCCAACATAGTCACACATATCAAATATCAAGTCTGTTAACCCTCGTTAGGTCTGTGTGGGCCTCTTGCTTATAATGAGAATATGACAAGGAGGAGTCTGGTCATACGCTCCCACTGGGACTGCTGTGCTTCTTCCTGTCCCTTCTACCAATGTCAAATGACTGTTTTTGACATTCTTTGATCACTGTAATCATGAGGTGTTTACTCTCTTTGCTGAAAGCAGCAGTAGAGCCACTTGTCTAACTGCCACAGCAAAATACTCTGCTGTTTTCAGTGTTAACAAGCCATAAACACAATATACTACTACCCTTTTTATATATATATATATATATATATATATAAAGGGTGTTTCCTACTTTGATATCTTATCTCATTTTATTGAAGGCTAGGCTAAACAGGGCTGAGTAGCTGTCAACTGTATGTTTTCCATTAATCGCTTAAGTCAGGAGGAGGAGAAAGGCCCATCATTTGCTGGATTCTTGGCATTTCTTATATGATAGTAAACTTAATATTTTGCATTTTTTGTTGTTTGAACACAAACAAGCATTTTGAAGAAGTTGTCTTTGGCTCTGGGGACGTGAGGCCAAACAATTGACTGACAAAGTATTGGGCAGAATAATCGATTATAAAAATAATCCCACAAGGCCTACATGTTGTGCTCCCAGTGACTAGAACATATGATAAAAGGAGACAAATGAAATCACAATTTTGATTACAATTTAATGAGTGCAGTTCTTTCAATACTTTACGGTTGAAGTCTGTTTCTATAAATAATCAAATTATTAAACCACACAAATTTAAAGGCTATTTCTACAGACTTTCACGCTATTCTAAGGCCTTTCTAAGTAGTGTTATTATAAAGTTCACAGTAGTTTTAGCTGTAGCTCAAGTATAAATACATTATAAATGAATAGTGTTGTTAATTTGCACTCTCCGTGTGGAGCTCAGCACCAGCCTAGCTCTTATTACTTGGACATTACTTTGATAATCTTGTCTCATGAGAGTGTGACCCTATATTTGGTTTCTGCTCTTCATAGATATCAGACAAAATAGCCTCAAAAATCTGCAGTGTTTGTGGTTTTGCATTTTTTTGGGGGCTTTTTTTGCCTTTATGATAGTGACAGCTGAAGATAGACAGGAAAGGGGGACAGAGAGTGGGGATGACACGCAGCAAAGGGCCGCAGGTCGGATTCGAACCCTGGGCTGCTGGAGCAAGGACTCGGCCTCGGTACATGTGTCGCCAGCTCTACCCACTGAGCTGACCGAACGCCCGGTTTTGCAGTTTTGAAGGAGATAGGGCAGCCTCGCTAGAGGAACTGTTGTTGATGAGTGGAGTTGATTTGGGGAAGCTAAAGCTGCGTAATCCTCCCTGTTTATGCTGGTTACCACAAGCCTCACCGTAAGATCTAACACTCTTGTAAAAATGGTTGATTTAGCATTCAGTAGTAAACATTGACAGATTTAGTTTTGCTAAAATGTATAGTCATTTCTGTGGATTAAAGAGTGGAATGATAAAATGTTTGACCTCAGAATGATCTGCTGTTTGGGCTGTCCAAACGACAAATGTCGATCTCCAAATCCCAGTCCGTTCTCACCCTTTCAGTGACTCCCTCCACTCCTACGACTGGAAGGATGTCCCACTACGGAAAGACCTTGGTTCGGAGAGGAAACTTTATAGCGGGATCCTGGGCCGGAGAGCCATGACATGGAAGTGCCCACTAGAGGAGCAACATGCAGATGTGCTTCTGTTTCAGAGGGTTTCCTTCACAGGAACTGTGTCCTGTCTGTACCCTCTGTTGTCTTTAGAAAATGCATTGATTTCTTATTCGTA